TATGTCATGCCCAAATGAGTTTTTTATTACAGAGTACTTAATCGTGTTTGGAATCAAATGTCCTCTGCCTCTGTTCCATATTTTCGGTGACTGTCCGTTTTTAGAAAATAATCTTTCCCCAAGACAAATGGAAAAGCAGTGATTTGCAAGGCCTCAGCCAGTGCAATTAGGAGCCAAGAGCAGCTGACCTGAAAAAGCAGCAGTGAAAAACACAGGCAATTGTTAAACATAAATTACTCCATAATTAAGCCCAATTGTCTTATAGCAAAACTAGCTCTTTCTCTCTTCCGCTGCTTGGACAGAAATCTCACGGAGGGATTTTGCCTGGGGCACACTTTTCTACTACAAAGTTCCTAACTCGGTGCAAGAGCGTTTTCTGTCACAGCGAAAAGCACTTATGTAAGTCAGACTCAAGCCCTAATCTCAGGGAAGTGATGCAGTCAAGCGACAGCCGTACGGGCCAGCCCGACATCGCAGTGCTGTGGGGAAGCAGAGCCCCTGTCTGCCTCCAGACATGAGCCACATGCTGCCCACATTTAGGTATTTTTTTCCACTGATGGGTTCCATGAACCTTCTTCTACCAGCTCTGCTGCTGTCGCCAGCCAAGGGGCAGCACGGGAGATGAAGCAGTTGCAGGAGTCCCTGGTCCCTTGCAGTCTCAGTAGGACAGAGAGGACGTCGGGCATTAATAGCTATTCCTGCCCAGCATCATAGCCTTGCATCATAATATTTTATATTATTTATTATTATTTTATATATTTTAAACCTTGCATCATAATATTTTATATTATTTATTATTATTTTATATATTTTAAAGTGGTAGAGAGAGATGGAACCTAGAAGCGCTGCTAGAAAAATGGCAAAATGAGTGTTTATGCTTCCTAGTCCTCACTGATATAAAAAGCTAAAACTAGGATTGATTCCAGCTTTCCTTCTTGTCCATTTACTGGACCTAAGAAAGAACAGGGAAATCCCACAAACAGCCAAGAGTGACCAAGAACACAACAGGCTGGGTTTCTGTTTGTTTTTCTTCAGACTTTGAACAAGGTTAACAGAAACCACTGGTTCTCAGGTTAAATTAGCTGGACTCACAAACTGATTGCACAGGACAGGCCCTTGAGAAAGGAATTAAATATATACAAAATGAACCAACTGGCTCATACTGCTCTGCCTRGGTGTCCTCTGGGAGATCATAAGAACTTTCAACTTCTCTTTTATYGAAATGAAGTGGCAGAAATTGGCTCCTGCTAGTTCAGGTTATATACATTATGGGCATATAAGACTGTCTTCCATGTTTTCCTGTTTCACTTCTTTTCAATGGAGCAATCAAATTACTGCCACCAGGCATAGCCAACCCATAATATCTTGTGGAATAACCCACGGTCAGACAGCAGCACAGGAGAAACATGTGTGGGATGCGCTGGTATCCTCAGGGATCAGCCCCTCTGCCTGGTGCACTGCAGGACAACGGCAGCATATTTTGGATGTAGATCTCCAAGAAATAAGAAGTGCTATTTCCATAGCACTTCAAAAATCTATATTCCAATGGTACTCGGGTTGCCAACAGGGAACACAAGCGCACACCTCACCTGGAGATGTCTTGGGGTGCAAGCAACACAGCTGAGCTCTGAGCTGAGCTCTCCAGTCTGGCTTTGCCATTCGTGACTAAAGCTCAAGGAAAAGAGGCCCGCGGTGCCGCTGCCCGAGGTGTCCAAAGCTGTCTCCATGCTGTCAGCCCAGCACCGAGGCATTTCCTGCTTGTTTATAAAAGTTCCCTGTCCCTCAACAGTTCTGAGCCGCAAACCTCCCAGTAAAACAGAGTGTTTTCCAAAGAAATGGGCTGATATTCTCTGAAGAGAGCTGGAGATTAAACAGAGCAGTTTCATAAATCCCAAACAAGCCAGCAGATGAAACCTGGTGAATTTTTATTGTAGGCAAGAGGAAGAAGGATACAACAGTTCTGTCAGACTGTGTTTGAAGGTTTGTTCCAGGACTAAGGCTGTGCRCRTTTTTATTATTATTMTTCTATTTTTAAACATATCCAGGCCCCTGAAATGTCTGCTTTCTGACAGCTCACAGTCTTTATTCAATCACCCACCACTGTCATGTCAAAGAGAAGAGCTGTTATTCCCTGTGCTTCTAGGATACGAGGTTAAGGTCACACAGGAAATCTATAGCAAACTRTGAAACCAAACTGGATCTTGATTCCTGTCTTAGTCATTGGAAAATCAAAGAGAAACTTGCAGTCTTAGAAGATGCCCTAATTTCACAGTCCATCTGCATCGTCTGCACTTTTAATGTTCAGGAAATCTGTATACTTGAGGAACAGAATCCACTGTCACTTAGAAGGGTGCAAATCTGTGCTAACTTCACCAGTTCCAGTTAAATTAACTGAATTGTCTTTGTCTTTTCGTTAACATATTGATGGCCCTTCTACCTGCTTACAGAATTTAGCTGCAAAATGTATCTTATAATTGTTAGTTAAAAAGCACAGCAATGGGAAAAGATTGCACCCTTTATATTTGCATGGTGACACGTGCTACCAGGAGCCGTCATGTTGGATGGAAGGTCCTTCTGGGGGTCACCTAGTCCAGGCTCCTGCTCCAAGCAGGACTTTTGGCCAGTGTTGGTTCASGTCTGCATGAGCTTTCTCGTGTATAGTTATTTTGCACATAAGCCATTATGCTACATCCCAGTGACATTACTGGCAGATTGTGGTGTCTGTCTGATCCGTGGGAGAGGCAAATATAAACCCTATTTAATATGTGTAAAGAGGATATATTGCAAGAGTTGCCTAGTGACTCTCTAAAGCTGCTTATGTTCATATTACAAGACAAACTTGGCACCAATTTAAAACATGTAGATGTTATAGCAGAGCAGCGTGCCATGAGCTAAAGACTGTGAATGGAGAATTGCTGGCTCCTAAGAGTCAGAAAGGTCAAAGAGCTCAGAGAGTTCCCAGAAACGAGGGCTGGGAGAGGAGCAGAAGAGCACGTATTTGTACTGTCTACATCCCTCTCCCCATTGGCAGCGTGGGCAGCATCAGCTCCTCATTCAATGCACTCTGAATTGCACCTCAGGAAAACACCTGATGGGATAAATAAGCTAGATGGGATGAGTAGCCCACCTAAGTCTTCCCTCTGTCTCCTGAGGATCAAGTACCCTTGAAAGATGAAGGTACGAATCTCTCTGTGTGGTCTTTGCCTTTCACGCGAGGATAAGCCTGCTTAAGGCTCGGAGCGCAGCCGCTCAGCACATCAATAACCACTTGAAAAGCTTCTACCATCACATCCCAAGATGTAAACAAACAGYCTGTAACAAATCCAAAACAGGCACTAGTAAAACAGAAAACACCACTTTTATCTCACAGGGCAGCATTTATTCTTCTTGATCTATTTTTTTATTCTCATAAATGAACTAAAAARTTAGCTTTGTAATTCTTCATCCTTCCATAAACTGCAATTCGAAGTTTGCTCAGCAGAGCAGAGGCAAATTCTAATGCTGCAGTTTCTCGTGCCTTTGAAAAAGAAAACAGACTTTGAAAAGACAATAACACAGCCACAGTCTTTGGCCAAAGAGACAAAACCTTGCAGAAACAATTAGCAGTGGAAACAATGTACACGGCTTTGTAGCTTTAATCTGATAGCGAAGGGCTGGAAGCCAGAGAATAAAGTTCCCTCCCCTCCTGCCACAGAGCCGGATCCAACATCAACACGCAGATCTTCCTGTGCACTTGTCCAGAGCTACCAGGTGGCCACGCCGGGTTTCTCTGCTGAAAAGCCACTGGTTTCCAAGGGGTTGGTGTGGGGCCCACTGCTTTTTGCTAGGGGAATATCAGTGCCAGCGGCGGAGCTGTTGGCCGTCGCTGTCTTGTGCTGGGGCTGAAGGGGTCGGAGCAGCACAGAGCACCCTGGGCCTACGCGTGGTCTTCCGGAGGGCTCCGTGGTACGGAGTTCTCCAGGGCCGCAGTGCAAGCCCACGAGCAGGCCCGGGGTGGCAGCTCCATCCTGCTGMGGCCCTGAGCTCCGTGAGCAGCCCCACGTTTACACCCGGCTCCATCGTCCCCTGCCCTCCGCTGCAGCGCTCACAGCAAGCAGCGCTCCCAACCGCTGCGAAGCCCCTCTCCCCAAAGGCCGTGTAGGCAAGGCATAAGATGCCCTCAGCTCTCCTGGATGTGAAGGAAGCTGGGGGCACTTGGCTTCTTGAAGGCTGGTGCTGCTTCGGAAAACGGCCCAGCCGTGTGAGCCTTTCTCAGGCCTGACAGACACCACAAATCCCACTGCTGCTGGAAAGGGCCATAAAGCTTTCAGTGTGTGAACTGACACCAAGCCACGTCTGCCTCCTGGAGCGGCGCGAGGCTCYGAGCGAGCTCCCTTGCATCCCCATAGCCGTGTTTCTGTCAGGGGAGGCACACGCACGTCACTGAGGAGGAAACTGGTGGAAGCTCCCGCTGGGGCTCTGCTGGATACAGCAAGTGCACGCTGCAGCCTCGCACTGTAGCTCGGAGACACTGAACAAGATTAAAATTGCTGGTTACCAACTCCCCAGGCTGCCACCCAAATGAAAATGTACCTGGGACACCGGTGCCTACCTATAGCTCCCACAGTTAACAATGTAAAAGGAAGACAGATGCAAAATAAGAGCTGCAGAAGTGTATTAATGTCTAAGGCTTTTCAGGTCCCTACTGTAGTAAATTTACTCTGTCAGCTTCCTCTGTGATTATAAAGTCAGCCTTTTATCCGCTCAGTAAATACCTGAACTAAAACGCTCGTTTGAGATAAATGCAGAACAGGGAGTTAATCTAATTCTGCTGCTGCCGTGCAAACTTATCCCTACGAAAACAAACTATGCCACGTTTCAGGTGCTGAGAACCTGCAGGAAAATATGACTGAGATAAAGGAAAATAAAATAGCCCTTAAAACCTGAAGCTGGTTTCACCTCAGTGAAGCCTTTTTGCTGTGGACAAGGTCTAACGAGGGGATGTCTGTGCTTCGTTTCAGAACCACGACCACACGTGCATTGCGTGCAGAATCATCTACCGCTCGGACGAGCAGCACCCTCCCATCCTGCCCCCCAAGGCGGATTTGACCATGGGGCTGCACGGCGAGTGGGTGAGCCAGCGGTGCGAGGTGCGCCCCGAGGTGCTCTTCCTCACGCGGCACTTCATCTTCCACGACAACAACAACACCTGGGAAGGCCACTACTACCACTACTCCGACCCCATCTGCAAGCACCCCACCTTCACCATCTACGCCAAGGGGCGCTACAGCCGCGGGGTGCACTCCTCCAAAGTGATGGGGGGCACTGAGTTCGTGTTCAAAGGTAGAGTAGTGCCCCTTACCTGGGCRGGAGCGGTCAGGCAGCCATCGAACAGAGCTGGGCTGGCGCACAGAGCTTGCACATGAGCTGAGAAGATGCTAAGGATTGAATTYTCTCTTTTCATTCTGCTGCTTTTCAGGATTTAGACATTTCTTGGGAAGTTCTAAGCATTCTGTGAATACCCAGACAAACTCTATTATATATACTGTATTTCCCACCACTGAGGCAATACTCCTCTGAGGCAAAATAGGGACATGTTTAAGATCAGTACAATAACATCAGGCTATAATTTGTGTGACTGAGTCCTGAGGGCCCCTGGCCAGATTTTAAGCATCTTAATGAAACGCCTGAGATTGGATCAGTGTCTGAGGGCTACTTCAGTGGAGAGAAAGAAGTCCCCTCAGAAGGTATTTCAGGTCACAGGGGAGACAGATATAGAAGTGTGTGGCTTTTTTATATCAGCTTCAAAGTGGGTCTAGATAAAGATAGCCCTGATTAATSCCAGAATAGCAAAAACTAGCTGTATTTAATAAAACCGTTGGGCTCCTTCAGGAGGCAGCACTCAGAGGTGACATTGCTCAGGTCCCCATAGCTAAAGAGCCGCTTTGTGCAAACAGCTCCATAGTGCCCTGCTCACAGAGAGCTCGGTGGCATCAGCACACACAYACACACACACACACACATCTGCAAAATACATCGTCCCCTCACAGCACCAGCCCCACTGGAACCTGTGAAAGCCCCAAGCTCTCTCTGTACACTATTTTCCTTCATACTTCCCTTATCACGTGAGAAGCACATAGCTACTTGCATGCCCCCAGTTTAAGAAAGCATCTGACTAGAAGAAATAACTTCCCGAGCAGGATTTTCACGGGAGGCAGAATATCTTCTAAGCTTTTGCTTTTTATTGCTGTRTGTAGCATGTTCCACTCAAGCTCCTGGAATGAAATCTAATTATGCTCAAAATCAGAATTTGTTTCTGTTTCAGTTAGTATACATCCATTCAGAATCCCTTTTCTTCCCTTGAAACACAGTATCAAACAAATACCTTGAATAATCTCTATTCAGCTTCCTCGTTCTCATTCAGTTTAGCTCTTCCCAACTTGATAAACTAGGCTGCAAAATCAGTATTTATGTGCCTTAAACTTGTCGTTGAAATACGGTCAATTCAGTTAGAGCCGAGAAGCTGTAAAACTTGTACATCTGCAAGTACACACTGAGTCACTGTTAGGATAGGAGAGAGAGTAGAGAGTAGCCCTCTGTAATTCAGCACTAACTGTATAATTCGTACAAGAAGAACAGATGATATATGAAGATAGTGCAGTTGTGGTAATTTCCAAATTGGAACTTATTTCGTTAGCTTTATGGGCTAACATATGTTAAAAGAATGATAAAAAGATGTTATAAAGAGCCCTGCTTATGCATTAAAAGGTAATAAAATATGAGTTAAGTTTTATTATTTCCTCTTTTATGTATCTTCTCATGTGACCAATAGGCTTTATCTCTAAAAGATTGTCTGGGATTTATGAAAAGCTCTGCTTAATCTCAAAGATATCCAACCACCAGGTTTGCTTCTGTAGATTTTTTTTTTATGTTCTGTGCAAGAAGCAGTTATGTCTAAGATGTAAAGTGATGCCAAGAGAATTTTTGGCCATACCTGCACTATAAAAATTCAATTTAAGAAAAAAGAGAAAAACAGAGATTCAGAGTTGCTCTAATTCTTCTYGGTAAGATTAAAAGACATCCTTATATAATTGAAGAAGCACCAAAATGTCACCCAGACATATTCAGAACAGCTTTGTCTTCACAGTTTCTAAGACTAACCGAAACCCTCCACGACTTTGCTAGCATCACTCATATGTACATAGACAAAAGGGTCARTTTTAAAAGGATTTCGAGGTTTGCTTCCCCTACTGATCTCTGCGTGTCTTTGAATACTGAGATGATGACAAGGGACGTAAGTGCCACCTGGGCAGGCAGAATGGTGAGCACCCACTGTGACTCTCGTGTCACAGATAGACCCCAACCAGCCTGTTGTCCTCCTCCGTCTCCCCCTGCTAAGGCCTCCTCTCTTCCTTTTCCACAGTAAATCACATGAAGGTCACTCCCATGGACATCTCCACGGCCTCGCTGCTGAACGTCTTCAACGGGAACGAGTGCGGAGCGCAGGGATCCTGGCAGGTGGGGGTGCAGCAGGACGTCACCCACACCAACGGCTGCATCGCGCTGGGCATCCGCCTCCCTCACACTGAGTACGAGATCTTCAAGATGGAACAGGACGCCCGGGGCCGGTACCTGCTGTACAACGGCCAGAGACCGAGCGATGGCTCCAGCCCGGACCGGCCGGAGAAGAGAGCCACTTCCTACCAGATGCCTTTAATTCAGTGCGCTTCCTCCGTGCCCAGAGCTGAAGAGTCACCAGAGGAGAATAAAATAAGTCTGTACAGCAGCAGGGCAGCAGAAAAATATTCCAGCGCCCCAGCTCTTGCTTTGGTGTTGTTTATTTGTACTGTGTCATATTGGGACATGCTCAGCTAGAAGTGAAAAAACTATTTTTCATGACTACAAAGCCAGGATTCCATAAGACTGAGGGCTGTTTTTCTTCAGAATGAAAGGGACGTTTATTTCCTTGATGCACTTGAATGCCTGACAAGTGTTGTTCTTTTCCCTGTTTCCCCCTGCTCCTTGAATCATGGACGGCACTCATTTGATGTCTGTGCTTTGAACTTCATCCAGTCTGATCCCTGGCCTGACATGACTGCACAAAAGTAATTGCACTTTAGGACTGCAGACTTTGGGGGGAGGGAAGGGGTCTCCTTTTCTTCACTGCTGGGGGGAGCCTTACAGTCCTGCTTCAGCTGCCGCTGCCATTTCACCAGTGTGGTACTTTCCTCCCCAAGGCTCAATTTCTCATCAGATTTTAACTCCGAGGAATCACTCAGTGTAGTGGCAATACTGTGATAACAGCTTCCCCCTTTGACTTTAGGGCTCTGCTGTAGATATATGTATATAAGAAAGAAAGCCACRCGGATTTATCTAATCGTTATCTCACACCTCATAACACAAAAAGGATCTGCAAATCAAACACACCTCCATTCAGACAAGTTGGTATCTCCGATTAAAAATATTTTAAGTAATTTGATCTATTTTTACAATCATGAAGTTGCAGAAACCAATGACTTAGTATTTTCTTTYTCAATTTCCTTAATTGCTTCTAGGCCTCCCTTTCTATCTAGTGAGTAGTTGCAACCAACCCCTCTTAAAGCCAGRTAGAAAATGTATTTTTTTAATCACATGTGCACTGTACAAGTAAGTTGCTGATATWAGGCTGAAGTGACAGGCTCTGTTCTCATTTTCACAAGGTCTTATGTACTGTCTATGCAATATTCGTGCCTTGGATTTGGTTTTATCCAAGTGGATAAACCAAAGAAGCATATAGGGCTTTAATATATTCTGCAGTCCAATCTGGCAGCACAGGTTTAATGCAACATTAGGTAGGAATAAGCAAAGGAAGTGCCCTGGTGAGCCCCAGTATCGTCTRGAGACAAGAGCCCTAGTATTGTTTAGAGAGCAAGAAAGCAGTAGGAACCAGCCTCACATCCATCTCACGTAGGGAGATTGACCCAGTATTCTGGGAGGAGTTGGAGTTACATGAACAGCCTTCTGCTCATTTTCCCCTTGCTTGAGRTTGTGGTTTCTCCGAATCCAAACCTCATCAGTCTGGGGAGACATCACTCCAAAGAAACAGGCAGAGCCCTCAGACAGCTTCCCGCTGCAGCCCCCTCCCCAGACACCCCAGGATCTCCCCCAGGAGAAATATCTTCTCCTGYGCTCACAGATAGGAACCACAGCAAGTGGATCCTGTCAGGAGAGCCAACAGAGAGTTAAGAGCAGTGAGGAGGTTCGGGTYGCAGATGAACCCTGCTGCTCCCCTGCTTTGATGGGCACCAAGGCGAGGACATGGCTTAGCCTTGCAGCATTTGCAGTGGGTCTTTACTAGTACATGGAGCATTCTGTCTTACAGGAGGAGCAGGAACCTGTGTGAGAAACCAGAGCAAGGTCATAATGTTTCTACACCACTATCTAAGTAGAACCTGCCAAGTGTGGACCAGAGAGGAAGAGCCCTCCAAAGTATTTCTTTTTTTAGGCCTTATAGGAAAAGCATATTTGAATAAAGGTCTGTCAGCCTTACATAGAAGAGTCCATACTGTGTGCTATAGCAAAAGCATTCCTTAAAAACAGTGATACCATCAGTCTTGCTAGCAGAACAGGCAGGAAAAAGCTATTTGAGTAGCAATGATGACACTGAGGCTCCCTGACCAACTCCCACAAAGTTGCTGCCTTCCTCACAGTTTTGCAAGCTGCTGTCAGCCTTTGATGCACATTTCCTCACTGAGGGGCACTAAATCAGGGCAATTCACCTGCTTTGGGGAGAGCAGGAACAAGAGGAACCGCAGACTCCCATTGCTATAGCAGATGACACCTCTCACATTTTTTTTTTTTTCCCTCAGATGAAAAGTCAGAGAAAACCCAGCTCAGCTTTCAGAAACACAGCTCAGGAGTCACCCGAATGTACTCATGATGAATCGAGCCCCAAGAACAAGAGCTGGTCTCATCAGCATTTCTTGCTWTGTCTACTCTGCACGGCTCAACCTATTCAGAGAGGGTCCGTTCTGGATGAGCTGCAGGTGGAGAGGAGTTAGGAGCATAGTTCAGAACTGAAGGGTCAAGGGAGAGACATGATCACTATACTTCTGAAAGAGGACTTTAACTAGGGATTTAAGGGATTTTCTCCATCCAGTTAACTGGATGTTCTCCATCCATAAAACTTCAGTTTTATGTCCAACAGATTCACACCAGCATGTCTCCAACGGAGCAACTGCTGGTCTATTACTAGTCAGAGAAGTCCCTTCAGATACTGGCTTAGTTCCTGACTTCTAAGATGCATGAGCAAATCTATGCGCATTTCAGTTTATTAAGATGCACACTGGGCATTTATTAAGATGCAATGCAGGGCTGAAGCCTACAGCAGGACTGGTCTTCAACACGATACACAATGCTCAGTAGGGCAATGGCCCATATATTTAYTAGTGCTTCATAGCTCCTCTGTAAATTGCTTAGTACCAGAATTATAAATTTCAAAAGACTTGTCTAGTTTTCTTCTGAAAARCATATTCTATCAAAATACAAAAAACACTCGTTTTGAATCTTGCAAAAATGTAGGTTTGCTGAGAGTTTTCTCACTTGCACTAATGGCAAGTGTATCAGAACTTAGGAACCGTGCAAGAATTGCCTTTTTTTCCTTTGAGCTAGAAGACACTTAAAAAGGAAGCACAGCCCAATGCATTGCAAGAAGGTTGATTTGGGGCTCTTCCACTTCATTTGTAGTGTCGATTAGGAACAAAATTTCATGATCTGAAAAATTTTCATAGCATATGCTACACTAGCCTCCTGCCTTGTGTCTGTATATAAATATACCTTTTATTTTCCCATTTGTCAAAACAAGCCAAAGCCATGTACTTTATTAGTCAATCCATGTTCTCTGGAGGGGTTCTCCTGGGTTACAGGCACAGGAGCCAAGCTTCCTTCATCTTCTCCTTTCATCACACAGACTAAACKCACAGCTGTACAGCGCCGTGCACACACATGGCAAAATAAGCTCTGCTCATTGCACTGGCTTAACCTGACCTCGGCCTACGTTGGCTGCCCTGGCTGCTGAGGAACTTAAGCCACAAATGGATTAGCAGCAGCGGAAGACCTGCCAATTCTGTAATTTCTCCCATACCMAAGCTCAGATGTTTTAAAAGGATTAGAGTAGTATCTTTATTAACTGTCCCGGCAGCCTGGAGGAGTGAAGAAGATCTCCTCATCACACCATTGAAATAGCCTACCCAAGGAGTCACCCTATACCAAAAAAAAAGTATAGCAAGAAGAGCTTTGGCAWTTTTTTTTCATGTTCTAGTCTAAAAGGGGCAAAAGGGATCAGAAAGTTAAAATGAAAGTGTTCCAGGTCTGCTCCTATTCCGTTTACATATTGTGCCTGCTTGCCCTGTGGTGGAATGTCATTTTAAGAGCCAAAGTCCATATTTTGGGATACAATGCCTGCTTGAGTGGGAGTGTGCTTGCTTAAAGGACAAGATTTTTAGGGAAAAAAAAACTTTTTATTTTTGTAAAGTTATAGAAGGTATTTTTCTTCTCAATTATATGTTCCAGATTAAACTGCCGGGGAAGTTTGAGCACTTGTTAAAATATTGATTGAAATAAAAAGAGCCTAACTGAAAAATTCAGGATTCCTCTGCTTATGCATAATAATTTTTTCTTCTGTCATCTCTGTCACCTGCAAAGGATAATTCATGTCTTGGAAAGCTATATCCCTCTAACTGGTATCTCCTGTASTTGTGCACGGATAAGCTTATTGTATATGAGAAAACAATTTTATTTGAGAGCATCTCRCTAGAAGCAGCTGTGATGAATACAGCAGGGATGATTAGGGTCTCGCACTGAATCTTTTGGTTGCCTGCGTGAAGTTAGTTGAAAAGCAGGCTGGAAGTGTTGGCTTGCAAGGGCAGTATGGCCAGAACAGCTGTGGGTCGGTACAAAGCGGGTGGCGTGAACAGAAAGAACCTATTTTTCATAAAGAAACTTCAATGAAGCAGAACAAAATTATTGCTTTGTCTCACTTGTTCCAGGGGCTGTAATGCAGGGAAAAAAATAGGATACTTTTCTTGAAGAGACAGAAATCTGTGAGTAAAAGATTTCTCGTCCTTCATGCCCTGCAGTTTCACTACTGCCTCCCTTGCATAAAGAAGATGGGTGAAATGAAGTCAACGAGACTTCCACCACYGACTTCGGAAGATTCAGAAACTTGTCCAGTCCCAAGTGTTTGAAGTGACTCAGAATTTTTGGAAACACCACAGCAGATCCCTGAACAGAGAGCTTGATTTTCAGGAAGCATGCCCTAAATTACAAGGCACTCTGAGCCACAGCCCAAAAAGCAGCGGCTTCCCTTTCCACCCAGAGCTGTGGGCATGGTGAATTCGGCATAAATAGACTCTACATGCCTTAATTTACCCCTTCTTGGGGCAAAAAGAAGGTGAACAACGAAAATCCAACAGCACTCGCTCTGAATTTTAACATTTGACTACTTCCTGTTTATCTTTTTCTCATTTTAAGTATTTCCAAATTTTTTTCCTTCTCATGTTCTCTGGACATGACGCTGAGCACAGCGTTGATCTTTTTTATTATTTGCTGTCAGCACCGAATAATAAAGAAATGAAGAAACCAATTTTTTTACTTTATTCTGCTGAATCAGGCAGAAATAACGGCTGAATATCTGCTCGTGGTTGTGAGGAATCAAACCATGAATACCTACAAAAACCAAGGAAGCAACGCTGCTGGCAATTACTTACCAAGCTCTCTTCTCCCTGCCCCTTCCTCTCTGCAGTTCTGTTGCAGGGTAGGGAGCTGCCTCTCGGAAGGATTTTAGCCACGGAGCTGCCAAGCTCCAAGGACAATAATTCAATCRCATGCAGCTTCCAGTAAAGGAAACTGCCCGTGCCTGAAGGCGGCCGGACACTGTCCCAAACATCCTTTTCCCATGGGAATCCAGCTTTGTGCGTGTCCTATACAGCTGCCGAGAAGCTCTATTGGAAAATGGGAAACAGAACTGTACAGGATAATACTGTCTTGAAATAAATGAAGAAGGTCTACAAAAAATATGTTTACATTGGGAACTGCTCGGAATTAGATCATCTACATTCTCACTCTTGGGTGCAGCAAGTCCACAGACACAAGAAGTTTGTGATTAGACCTACAAACCCTTGTCCAGAGGACACAAACTTGCTGGTAACGCATTCCTTATGAATTTCTTTTAAGCAAATTTCCCACTAGTGTATCCCTTTTCCCTTAGCATCAAATAGGAGTAATTTGAAGACAGCAGATGATCAAAACCAGCTATATCTGCTAGACATTAGCCTGATTAACTGCCCTATAAAATACTGCTGGAAACAACCATCTCTTCCAGCAAGCAAAATAGCGAGTTTCAGCACCGTAACTAGTTTCATCACTATAAGAGACACAAAAAAAAAAAAAAAATCGATATTTTGCCACAAAAAAAAAAGAGTTTGAGCCTGAAATCTCTATCAGGCTGATAAATTAGGGAATTACCCGGTGGATCTGGTGCAAGGAACCTGCCAGGCCCGGGAGGCAGCGGGAGCTTTTCCAGAGCGCGGGCTTTTCCCTCACTCTTTTTTAGACATCGCCACCTGGTGGCCAAGGCCGGCCCAGCCTCAGCCCTCCGGGGCACCCTCTGAAGGACCAGCACCTCAGACAAGACCTAAGGTGTCAAAACACCCCAGGGAAGTCGCCTCTAAAGCGCAAACACGTGATAACAGCTTTTATAAGACCTGCTAACACAGTTAGGGGAGCAGGGACCAGAACCAGACAAGCCTTAAGCTTCATAGTCCCTTTATCAAGGTCCGTAAGAAGCAGAGGAATCAAGGAGAGGCTAGACATGCTGTTAGTCGCAGCACTGTGGTTATTCAACCTGCTCAGGAGGGTGGGCAAACAAGAGGGGAGCAAAGGAGCATYGGTAGGGCAAGAAGGTGACACCACCACCGCTTGTGGGAGGGGGAAAGGAAAGGGTCAGCAGAGCCTTCAAACTGGGTGAATAAACAGCAAAACTGCAGCGACCCTTAAACAGCATCACTGCTGAGTCTATGTCTTTAACAGACAGAAATTAAAACATCTTTTAAAGATATGAGYCTTCCCTGGAGGTTAATGTAACTATGAAATTTCATTCCACCAGGTGGTATCTTCTTACCAGGAGAGGCCACCATCCGTGGGATTGGTCATACAGAAAGAGCAAGAATTACATTCATCAGAGCTCTCACTGACTCCTTTGGGGTCCAGCTCTTACGGGAACTCCCCTGGACTTGCACCTTCAGAAACTAAGAACCTCCAGACGCTAAGAAATGCCAAAATGAAGCTGTGTCCTTGCAGCCCTCCCCACGGCCCCTTCTGCATGTGCGGAAGCAAGTCAAAAGTTTTCTAACCTATACAATACATGCTACGGGAATTCCTTCTCACCTCTTCAGAAAAACTGGGGAAACATTTGCTTGCATCTTCTAAGCCATATGAACCATTTTTGTAATATCTATACATTAGACTTCATATCAAGTCTAAAATGTATATACAACTGCACAATGGAAAAGGCAGTAATATATACACATGCACAGACATCTCACAAATGATGAGATACTTTATTCACAGTATTACCAAGAATTTAAATAAATTCAGAAATCAGCTAAAACTGTGCTGAGTCACACAAGCTATCAAATACACTATGTATGCTAAAAGTATCACTAACTTTTGATATTCTGTATCCATAGGAATCTTGGATTATTGTTGGATGACTCCATTTACAGAAGCAAGTGGTTCAATTTCTGCAATTCCAAATTTGCAAATAGCCATAACGATACCCCTCTGTGAAAGGGGGGTGGGGGCACCCAGGACTTAGCAACCATCAAACATTATATTAAAAATAATTACCTATGAAAATAGCCTAATAGCAAACACTCTTGGATGCTGGAAATCCACCTTGTTCCACTCTAGTTTGGGGCTCCAGTTTGTGGTGCTGTAGGTATCAAACTAGCACCTTCAAAGCTCAAGGGCCTATTTTGAAGGGCATTTCGGACATGGATCCCATTTGGTAAGAATAAAGGAAATATTGCTGTATTGCCRCTTCAAAATTAGCGATTTTAAAGCTGCTCATTAGTTAGAGGGGACAGAAACAGTTAAAAGAGGCAACAGATTAGCAGGAACAACTGAAGCGACGTATGACACAATGTAAATCAGATAGTAATTAACTGCAATTACCAGTTTAGATGTGAACACACAGAAAGATCTGCATACACACACATAAAAGACACATGTACACAAAGAGGTGCTCTATAAAGAAAGTGGCACAACGCTGTCCCTGTGCCYGCCCGGAAGGGGATTTAGCGTTTGCACAGGTCACTAACGCGCTGCACCGCGCGCAGAGCACGCTGTTCTCTGGCACAGTTTGGGTCCTGTGCTGTTCCTTTCCTGCTGCACTCACACAACAGTGCTGGAGGAGGCCAAGAGGCCCCTGTCTGTGCTGGTTATGGGGCTGGAAATGTTTACTTTTGGCCAGCTGCTTCATTTCTACACCTTTACTCCTACAAATGCATCATCAACCCAGCTCTAGGAATGACTCATAAAACCAGAGTTAGATTTTCATCAAAACAGGGATCACATTCAGAGTATCAAATTCCTTCCCCTATCCATCACAGAATCATAGAATCCTTAAGGTTGGAAATGACCTTTAGAGATCATCTACGTCCAACCCCCCTGCACACGCAGGGACACCYAGACCACGTGGCACAGGGTGGYKTCCAAGTGGGCTTTGAATAGCTCCAGAGAAGGAGACTCCACAACCTCTCTTGGCAGCCTGTTCTAAGGCTGTGTCACCCTCACTGTTGAGAATTTTTTCCTTAAAATCATTACTTCCAATGCATCTGAGCACAGCAGGTTGGAGGCATGAGGATTTAGGCACGTGGGTATTAACAGGTCGAATAGCAACACCCAGGACAGGGAGCTCTTCAGTTCGCTGGGCAGGCTTGCCCTAGAGGGCAGCTAATGCTGTTTTTCCTCCTGCAATTGGAGGTAGCTGGGATCTGTGGAACATCCACACTTCTATTGAACATGGTTCAAATTACATTTCAAATTCACACTGGGAGAACCCATGCTGCAATAACATCAACTTTTGTCTCTTTAAGAAGTTTTTTCTGCAAATAAACTGACCTTCCTTCCCTGGTGTAATCTGGCTCCTGTGGAGGCAGGACAAAGATAATTTCATCTAATCAGAAAAGCAATCTGTTCTGATTTCCTCAAAGCTGAGACATGCAACAAAAGGCCCAAGGGCTGAAGTATTTCAAGGTATTATGGAAGAAACTGAAGCRTGAAAGCGCTGCCAGGAGGTTGGCTCCATTAGCAAGCTGGGCTTAGGGAACCGCAGGCCGTACAGGCACAACCCTTCTCCAGGAGCTCTCCCGTTGACAGGGCTGCTCACTGTGGTTTAACTTTCAGGCCCTTGGGATGGAGAGAAGCCTGTTCCTCATCAAAGCCACAGGAGTTTCTAGTGCACACTTAGGGAGAAGTCAGTCTGTGCTAACCTAACTCCTTAGTTTCTCCAAGAACACAAAGTCAAGGCTAATTCCAACCCCACTTCTCTCATGACTGCYTCTTCCTGCCTTGCTCCTTTTTCTTCACTGGCAGCAACCTCTTTCCAGCTCTCACTTGAGATGGGGGCAGGTGCCTCACAATTTCAGAACTGTCAGCTACCCARGGGTGATTAAGGCGGCAATTAAGGAAAATTAGCTATGGCACAAGCTTCCAGTTTGAGGAATGCTCACTTTTTCTGTGTTCAAAGTACCTCTGATTGGAGCAGGGAGCTAGGGAGCTGTCTCTGTACCTGACATAGGGCTCAAATATTTATACGAATTACTGTCCTACAGAATTACATCAATTTAGGCTTCTCAATCATTAAAAATACAGCAGCAACCTTATATCAAGATAATTATTAGCTGCATTATCAATATGCTTTAAAGCAGCTCCAATGYCACTGCAGGAATATACTGCAGCTGAAAAGCAGTAACTCCTTTTCTATTACTACTAATTTCAAATGAAATGACATCAGTGCATTTAGATTTCCTAAGAGTCTACCTTTGCTGGAGTGCCTTTGCTTGTAAGAGTCAAATGTGCTTAAGTTCCAATGCTTGGCACTTCTTAAGGAAGTGCCTCAGAAAACCCAAGTGTAGATCTATCACCCGTACCTAGACTTGAAGTAGCCAACAGCAAAAAAAMCCCTGCCTTTCCCCCAGGTAAAGCAATATATTGCTTTACCTAACATAGTAGCCATGGAGATTTAGGACTTGAATGTACAAATGGCAGTGGATCCACATATTTATTTCTGCTGTACAGAAACATGTTCATGTTCTAACACTCATGATATGCAGGGTACCCAAACGCTTAGGATTTTGCTTTGGCTGCTGTCATTAGGAGAGGTCAGTCTATAACCCCATTCTCTGTCTCCAGACATTTCCGTCATGATTTCTGCCTGTTTAAAACACAGCTCCAGAATGCCAACAGCTAAAGCCCTCATAAGGTGCTTTAAAAGCCTATCAAAGACTTCCAAGCAACAGGAAGCAGCATTTTGAAAGTCCAACAAAAAGTATCTGGACAAGGACCAAGAAAGCTCGGARACAGAGCAGTATGGACAGCGTGCTACCGAAAGGGCATTTGAATCTAAAACATCCCTTCCCATCTGCTTCAACACTCGCACCTGCTTCCTCATCTGAAAACACAGGATAAACCTTCCTTACAAGGCAGATTGAGAATCATGAAGATTGCTAATCACTATCCACTCTGAAAGCAGCCTGGACAACGATCAGCACCGACAAGCCCTTGGAATTCACCTGTGCCTACTTGAGCCTACGGCAGCACTCGAAGAAATACAAGTTCCCAAGAACATCTTGAAACAGTTATTCCTTAACTACAGAAGTATTCTTAAAGCAGAACAGTGATAAATAAAGATTTTAAAATAGTTTTTATATACAAGTCTAAAAGGTAATTAGTAATTTCAAACACCTTTTAATTATTTTTTAATTCATTTCAAGTGTGTGAGCTCAGACTCTTTATCTACAGCAATACCTGTCTCATTTATCCCTGCTTAGACACCTCACAAGGAGGGAAGGAGAGGAGGGAGGGAGGGAAGGAAGGAAGGAGCAGCATTCTACTTTGCTGGCGATTTTATCAGTGTTACACAGGCTGGCAACAAGGTCTAAATAATTTAGCACTTTAGATATCTAGATTAGAGATGCTCAGATTAGAAATGTGAATTTAGCTAAAATCACATCTTACACTCCCTGAAAACCTRTTTTTTACCATTATCCGCTCCAGACCCAGTTGCCCTGTGGCATAAGCACAAGAGCCCCTGACTGCTTCTCCGGATGGTGGTACCAACTCACAGCACAAATATCGTGCCTTCCYGTCTAAGAATAATCAGAAAGCAAGATAAAATTTTGTGTATGTGCGCACAAGACATTTCTACAAAATTATTTTCAATTCAAAAGTCATATGTAAGAAGGCAATATTATCACTATGTCTACATAGCCCTGACAGCATCAGCAAGTTTTCTTAAAAACATTTACGCCCTACAAGCCAAAGCCAGGGGGAAAGCAGGATAAAACAAACACAGACCCCTTTATTATTACTGYTGGTGAGTCTCTTGGAAATAAAGTGGGAAATAAATCCTATTCAATGATGTGATTAGCTCTCAGCTCCTCCTGCAGGAACTCAAGGACTTGTGAAAAGCAACTCCTGTGTCCAGCCTCCCCCTCCTGGCCAACACTCAGACTTGTCCCCAGAGCCACAAGGCGAGCAGAGAGGGCCTTGCTGGGGTCGCACAAGGATTTGTGCTCAGGAAGCACCCTACAAAGTCATACACGGGAAAGGCAGACGGAAGCAGAGCAGCGAGGTGCCCCGTTCACAGCCACGTGTTAGAGAGCAGAGGCAAATGCAAGAATCAGGGCTGCTCAGGATTACTGTAAATGTTTGTGCGGACTGTTCTATACCAAATCTCATTCTTTCACCCCTGGCTGACACCACTCGACCTCGACAAGTCRATACCTAAGGACCCCGACCAGGAAGAAGAAACTTCCTTTGTCGTGACGAGTGCATGAACCCGACAAGCCACCCGCAGGCTCCGTGTTGTGCCGTGTGRTTGAGGTACTTGCTCTTCCTTCAAACACTGTATCTTCATCCAATCCCGCTTTACATTTACTAGCAGTAGTTACATGCAGGGCAGTATAGAGCCTGTAAGAAGAACTAGACGCACCTGCTCAGTATCAGTAAACTCTATACACGGTACCTGGGAGAAGTCTCAAAATAAGAAGGGCACTCCACCACTGTTAATCGTTTATTAACACTTCAGCTTTTAATATCTTTTAAGTAGGCCTGAAAGATAACGTTTGCTTATTGACTTTGTCTATTCCCCTTCAGCAAGATGTCCCCCTTCCACCTCGCCCCTTCACCCCTCACCTCCCAAGAGGAGGATGAAGTTTCAAGCAAGTGTTTGTTATTTTCTGAGCCGGAGAACAGCGTCAATCACAGCAGCACAAACGTGCAAACCTGGACAACAGCGTCTGTCTGTCAACAGCTTTCAGAGAATCTGCAGAAATGCACAGAGTTTGGGCATTAATGYACACACGGTTTCTTAAATGTCCTTTATATAATTTGTAAAGTGGGTTAAATTTGGTGCTCAAAATTACTACACAAGCTGTATTTTCCACTTAACAAGGGGTTCCCCCCTCCCAAGCCATTATGCTGTCTTTTAAAGAGTGCTATATTCATAAAACTTTAAAATATTGTGTGCTTGTTCCACCTTTGCCCTTTGGAGCAGTGGGAAGGGRGCCCTGGGATGCGCATTAAACTCGAGCTGCGCACGGAGCCCCGCGTGGCTTCACGGGCATCGTCCCTCGGCCGTGGCCCTAGGGGCAGAGARGACTATTTCCCCGTGCTTACGTACACAAGTCAGCGGGCAGACAAAGCAACAAGTTCTAACCATTTCAGGAACAGAGACAAGCAATTTAATCCATATTACATAATTCACTGAATACAGTCGGTCTCATCCAAAGTCACTCCTGAGAGCAAAAGAGTTTTAGCGTTACATTTTATATACAGCTAGTGAAGGGATTACTGGAAACCACCACAGTCTCCTTAGACCATTAACAAGCGCTCTCCACGCTGACTCTGAGGACATTACACCAACCCTGATCAGGTATCACCACCACCTGTTGATTTAAAAAAAAAAACTTAAAATTTGATTTTCTCATTGTTTTTTACTTTATTACTAGTGGCCGTTCACAGCACTGCTGCCAAACATCAAGCCTGGCTTGGCTGCATGGGTAAACGACTCCTTTTTTTCTGCTTGGAAGTGCTGAAAGTGCCAGCTACCCTTGGAAGCCTCCATACAGCAAGATCTCTGCACTAACATCTCCCATTTTCTACTTCCTCCTTCCAGGCTGGGATGACTGCCCTGCCTGCAGCTGCCCACCACTGCCCTCATCCTTTGCCATGCCATCACTTGGGAACAGGCTCTGAAGTCTGATGTGTCAGTGTTCTGCTGGAGATAAAACTGGAGACTTACACCACTCTGAACAGCGGGATGAGAATAACCCAGACCTAGCAGCGCTCTTCCAGGCACCGCAGTGAAAGGAGACTTGAAGGCAGACACTGGAACATGTAACTGGAAGCATSTGTACTTGCATGCTTAAATGAAAAGCAATATTTGTATTTTCTTCACCCTTATCCTTGCATATACGCAAGATTTTATAAAAATATCACAGAGAGCAGTGACAGTACATGATGTAATCATAGTTTGAAAGAAAAAAGAAAAAGCACTAGAAATCAAAGGCAACCAAGATAATGAAATCCTCTAGAACATTTTTCTCAACTACATAACGTGTGCACATACCAAGGTCTAACACACTTAGCTGCACCACATCAAGTCAAGCTGTCCAAGAGCATACACAATTTTGCTTACAGGAGCAAATCTCTTCCACAATTTTTCAGTTTACAAGTAATTCCCTGTATTGGATTATGCTTAGTCAGAAGCACAGGTACTATTTTGTTCCAATATTACTGTTGTTTTTTATGACATATTCAGAGATGAGGCAAGACATAAGATTAAGTGCAGGGAAGTATTTCAGACCCCAAAATGCATACTTTAAAACGTAGATATACATGGTTTACATAGGTAGACCTGTCAGAAGTTGCATAAAAATTACTTTCCATTTCCAAAGACKAGCAACTAGGGCTTACTCAGTAAATATCAACTCTTCTGCATCATGGAATTCATTATGGGCATCCAACRCATTCAAATTGGGTTTCTGAATCTCTGTTAAAATGAAGTTTTTGAGCGAGTTCGCCCTCTTGAAACCCTTATGAATTCCAAGGATGATTACATTGTCACCTAGACAGATACCCAGAAGACCCAAGGATGGAACAGAACGTCCATTATTACACTCCTGCACAATCCAAGCAAAGTGTTAATATGCTCAAAACATTTATTTCTGCTGTTTACACCTGATGGATATCCAAATTATTCTGCCCCAAAACAAACTGGATAATTTCCTCCATAGCTGAAAGTTGCCAGCAAACAATTCACTTTAACAGACAGAATGGAAACCCTTATTACGTTTTCAAGCTTCAATTACAACAGTCCAAGCCAGAGACTTATGCAAACAAATTGTAAAATAGCCATTTGTTACAAGGAGCAAATTACCATGAACAATGAACTGGTTAGGAATCCCTTCTAGAAGTACGACACACACAAACAGGCTACCCAGCAGAAAAGTCTGTTAACAATTTTATTTCTTTTGTAATGTTAAATATTACGGGACAGGATTGTAAGGATGAAAAAACTTTCAACAATGCCTCACGAGGGATAAGAAAGAAATTCTGCCATGATATTAGCAAAGTAAGGTAAGGAGAAAATTTACACAGAAAGAGGCACCATTTCCCCCAGAATACCTCTTGTCATATATTCCTGAATGAGTGGGATTAGCAATCTAATAAATCATTTTTTTCAAGAGGTAATAGCAACAGATAAAATTTTAAAGGATTATTAAAATAACATTTACAAGACTCTGAACAATTTTTGAACTCTTATTAAAACCACAGAAAGAAAGAACAATTCTTTATTTATGAATTTTCATAAAGGACTCAATGTGCAACTGACGTCTGCTATTGATGATTTAATGTACAATTTTGTCCAGTAGCCGAACAGTTTGTCTTTTTAAACTGCGTTTTCTAACCGTGCGAGATCATTAGAGGCAAAGCCTGTTATGATGCTGTACACAAAAATGGTCACTTGGGCTGTGGGGCCATTACTACCAATGAGACGTGGTAGGTAAACAAATCTTTTTTTTCTGGCCAAGGGAGAAAAAAAAAAAAAGAAAAAAAAAGAAAAAAAAAGAAAAAAAAAAAAAGAAAAGCATTTTGCATGCTTCTCTCCCTCATTCTTTCTACAAGATGAATTTCCCTAGAAAGAATCCAATGAAAATGGCTGCAATTACAACAAGAAGTGAAGGAAGAGAATTCGAGCCATTCTCTCTGAGGGCCAAGGCTGTGGGTGATCCAGCTTTTTCCGAGTGTGCTACCTTTCTGAGCCTCAAGCCTTCATCCTAAGGGGAGAAAACAAACACACACATGCAAAATACTTATGAAAGTGCCTTCTTAATAATCATGAAAACTTAAATCAACAGCCAATTTTTAYTGGTGAGCACTTAATAAAGTCATTTGGAAAACAGTATACGAYACCAGAATCTAAAATTCATGTGAAGTTTGCAAACCACAATCTCAAATGACAAGATAATTCACCTATTTCTTGACTCCTGGAGAAGAAATATTCCTAGCAGGCACAATGAAGATAGTTGTTTTCACTTCACACAGTCCTTATCAGCAATTTCCTTATTAGTTCCAGAATCAGTAATTTTGTGCTATACTTCTCCAAGCATTAATATAACCACAATCACAGGATAAGAAGACAGCATTATTTCAGGATTCTTTAAAAAGCTTTAGTGGCCATTGAAATTTTCAGACATCTGATAACAAATTACACATACACACAAAAATCTCCTYAAAGTCACATATTGCCTAGTTATGGGCTATTAAAATGGCAATAACATATAAAGCTACTGGGAAGCAATATCTCGTATGCTTACTACCTCTAGCCATTTGTTTCTGCTCACTAATATTTTATGATGCACAGTGCTACTTCTTTAATTCTCACTCATTTAGAAAGAATCAATAATAGTGCACTTTACTATAGAGAGCTACAAATTAAGACTCAAATAGGCACAGTCAAAGTATCTGAGATTGCCTTCAAGGGGAGTATCTTTACTGTTTTTTCCTTAGGAAAACAGCGCAGCTTCAGTATTTCATCCACAGCAATGACACGATCTTRATCACCGAGTGCAGAGTGTATTTTAAATGTTAATTTTACTTGCACCTATTCCTGCATCAGGAATCACTAATTCTCAGATCAGTTTATAAATATAAATTTTAGAAATAAACTGAGCTACAAGTTCAATGGATGAAAGACTGCACAAGAAGAGGTACCATAACAGAGCTAATAAGGGTAAGAATATACACTRCTCAATACTCACTCCAGTCCGTAAGAAAGGGCCCTCTCCAGCACACACRGAGGCAGAACTTACTTTCAGGTGCCGGTTTTCATCCAACAGCTCCTTAACCTCTGCCAGAAGCCCTTTACACTCCTCCACYGTCTTCCTTGATTCAGTATCAAGAGAAACTCCATGTGGTTTTGGCACATCTTATTTAAATGTATTTTGACCTTCTAGTGACTATCCCACTTTCTGAAATACTTTCCTTAACACCTTTGTCAGGCTAATTATAAACCAGACCTTCCAATCAAGAAGGGGACACCCACTTCAGTAGAAATATGAAAATGGAACTTACTCTCAGGAGCCGATTTTCATCCGACAGCTTCATAACTTCTGCCTGAAGTCTTTTGCACTCCTCCACTAGCTTCCTTGTCTCAGTATCATTAAGTGAAACACTATGTGGTTTTGGCATCGGTCCATCTTGTTTCGATGTATTCAGGACTGGGGCAGATTTGCTTGCATCTATGTCATTCTACAAATATTAAGAATGGCTTGAGAATTTTACTTACCTAGAGAAAAATTATTCACAGCTTAAAACTGAAACAATCCAGCTACTAAAATAGTTCAATTAGATTTATATTTACAGTAATCTAATCCAAGGCTTGTTACCAGTATCAATTCTGATTAGTACAAACATTAAGATGCAAGATAATATTGTACTGTCCACATGCTGTCCCAAATGCCACTGAAATAGAAAGGAACATTCAAATGATGTAAACACTGACCCCAGTAGGCACTGAAAAGAAAACATACACAAAATACACAGTAGAGACACAAAATAGCATTAGAACTTGGGGGAAAAAGTAGTAGCGGAGCAAACAGCGCAGTAATAAAAAAGGACCAAAGTAAAAAGCTAAGCAAAGTTGTTACAGACTACTTTAGTTACAAATTAACATGAAGCATGCATGCAAGAAGTATTTTGCACTTAAAGAGTACTTCTTCCTAAAGGAAAACAAAGTATTGCACAAATACAGACCTTAAGCCTCACAGCACTAAAATACATGATACTAATTTGGAATACAAGTGTACAGCCACACAAAAGGCTGCAAGAAAGCCATAAATAAAACTAAAAATCCAGGTTCTGCAACTCTGCTCTAARTATACAATTATCTTCCGCAAACATTAAAAATCCAGTGGATTCGATTGTCACCATTTATAAAAACACAACATTTATATGGCAATACTCTTAGATACTCKAATACTTATATTAGAGATTCAAGCCTCTATTCTTGATTTGCTCTCCAGCCACATCATTTAGACCATGACCACACCACATCCTCCAGAACATACGAGAAGTAGCCCAAAGGAATTATTAAAAGGTAAAAGAAAACCTATTAAAAGCTAACACATCTAGATAATAACAAGATAGCTAAATAAAAATTCYGATTTGCAAGAATTTCCTCAGTTCCTACACAAAAAGGCTAAGAGCCAAACCCTTTTCTGTGAGTTTGCTAGCTAGACAGGTTTCTTCKAATAATCCTGCAATCTCCCTGGTGTCTTAAGACTTATCTCCCCGGAACAAACCTGCTGCTTCTGCTCTCTGACCTCTCTGACTGGTTCCTCTGTGTCAATCTTCCGTCTAGGGCCGGTAGGCATCTGAAGAAAGTTGTTGAGGGCTGCAGTGAAATACTCATGTCCTGGGGTATCCAGGATACAATCCTGGTGTCCAGGTGAGCCTTATTCTCAGCACCTGGCTCATTTCTCTGGTAAGTTTGAGAGAGCAGCTAAATCAACTGCTAAAGGATTAGGTTCTGCAACTGAATTTTACACTTAGAAAAATATAAATATTATAGATGGGCAATAAAGATTAAGGTATCATTCACCAAAGTACAAAAGCTATTAGTTTTGTACAAAGCATTACATATCTGACTACGTTTTCGTCTAAAATGAAAAGCAATACTACTTCTCTAGCATCTGTAATATAATTAAAAATATATTAACAAACATAAAAAAGCCAAAGTGTTTAGCCTTTACAGATGTCACATTTAACACAGGCAGTTCACAGCTGAATAAATGCCTGCATCACTTAAGTTACTATTTATAAAAAAAAAAAAATACACCATCACACTGATATTTGGTCCAAAAATATCCTTACGTTACACTCAAAAAGATGTATTACAAGAATAGTGGCAAAGACAACTACTGACCAGCCAGCAGTCTCCATTCAGACCTCTATGCATATAAATAATCACATAGCCTTATATAAATGGCTTCATGCTACGTTACTCCAATATATCCTACAGATTATTTTATAAACTTGACAATGTTAAAGAAGAATCAAAGGCATGCAGCAAATAAGGCTGTTTACAGAAATCCTGCCTCAGCACCTTAATTCACAATGCTAAAAACAGCACAAATGAAAAGAAACAGAATTTAGAGAATCAGGAGCCTGTAAATCAGAATTTAGAGTTATCAAGGAAACAAACTGCTGATAGCACATTCTTTAAAGCTTGCACTGCCAGTTATCTACTACTGCAACTGTAAGGAAACACAAAATAGACTCCTGCAGCCTCACCATGAAATTATCATCTCCTAYGCAATTAGAATACATTGTATTTGAAGTAAGGAAAACAGGAAGGAGGCGATAAGATTTTTTTTGCCTGATTATCCATACTTTSTACTACCTTCAAAGATGTATTTAAAACTCCCAAAGCACAAATGTATGTGTGTGCATGCATGTATATATACACACATTTGCATAGACACACGTACACACTTATCCCTGATTAGTACTTCCTTTTCCAATTCAGCTGAATTAGAAACAGAGGTTTTAAAATTAAAAGCACTTTATACTTTAAAAAGCAAACGATGTAATTTGGTTTGCTATCCACAGTATCATGCAGCGTTTAAGATGCTTTTTACATAGTAACATACAGTCATGCTTACAGAATGTCAGTTTTCACACTTAAATCTGGTATAGCTCACTCAGTACATCGTTATGCATGCTTATACCAGTATAAGGTGGAATTCGGTTTCTCTCTAAAATTGCCRAACTGCTCTTATGGGCAGTAAACAGAGACTGCGCAACATGTTAATCTAACTTATGTTAATGTTAAATTTGCCTTCCACAAAAGATTCATTTCCTCTGATTAAGATAGGATTCCTTAAACAACATAACTAGAACTTAACTTGCCAAAATGCGGCTTTCTAGAAAAGCCATTCCTAATGCTGGTTTTCTACAGTCTCTTTATTACAYAGAAAGACAACAAACTTGCTGGTACCAGTTTTAAGCACACACCTTTGACATATGCTGCAAGTAGAGCCAGCAGTTGACTGCAGACAGTTGCCTAAATTCTAATTTTCCATAATCAGCTAGTTAAAAATATATGGCACTGGTACCATAAAGCAAGTTATAATAAATCATTAAGAGCTCATTGTCAACAATGTATGAACTCAAAATGTATCATCAAGGGCTCTTAAGAGGCAGGCATCAAACAGTTAATGTTGGTGAGAAGATCAGGCCCCAGTGAAATTCAGAGAAAAAGGAAAACCACTGAGAAGTTGTATACTGCATATCTCTAATTCAGTACAAACACCTACAACCCATTTACCTGTTAATTTACATAACCTAAAACAAAGCACATCTCTAAAAAGCAATGTATCAAAGAGTTTCTTCCTCTTTTCTTACTTACCAGTTTATCATTTTCATTRGGCATTTCRAACACGCATCTCAACTTGGAGTCCATTAACTCATCAGGTTTTGCCTCTTTCCACTAAGACAACAATTTATATGGTTACTCAACATGTAAGACTTACAGAAMCAGTGAACAGTTCCTGAATTTGCTTTTAGAATTCCCCACATATAGCTGTCCTTATCCTAGCTGCAATATGCTTCAAATAGGTTTGAATCTTTCTGCACTACTGACAATTAAGTTTTTACTGCTGTGGTTGCCTTAAATCTTTAAGGTCAGAGATGGATTTGAGATCTGCAGCCCTTGTCTCCAGTTCCTATTGGTCCTCTGAAGTCACCTTTAAGTTGCAGGTCCTCAAGACCAARGGATCCAAGACTTCCAAAAAAWTYTTKTWTTTTTTTTGTTCCTTTCTTTAGTGGTATTATTTGTACAGTAATTTATAACTACAATTACCRATTTTCTGCAAGATTGGTTTCTCAGCAGTCCATAATACGTTGAGAAACCAGTTACTTGAAAGGTATTTCTAAAGCATATTTCTAAATTTTGATCAAATAGCTACACTTCACTTGCCGCTCATAACTAATAGCTACAGGAATGCGATAAGTAAAGCAAAGCAAAAAGAAGGAAAATTGTTATTTTTCTAACTACAYGCTTCAAAAGCTTTACAAAAATCTACTTTCAGTGAAGAGAGATGTTGTAAGTGATCTTTACCTTCACAGAAAGGAACACAGCAAAGCCCACCCAGATTTAATGGACTTCASTGAGCACTACAATATAATTCTATCCTTTGTTTCAACTACACTCTCCTACCTCAAGCTACCAAAGCAAATACTGAACATATCTGTGGAAAAACAGRCAGTCCCTAAAACACTTGTTATAGAGAGAGCAGCCTGGGCATCATTCCCCTGAATCCAAATATAGATKATTACGGGAGCCCGAGTATGCCCTGCTAAAGGGGATGTTCTGACAGCTGAAGGCTTCCCAGTGCTGCCAGCTTGGAAAGTCAGGGACTGGTATCCCGACTCCTGAACAAACAAAGCACATCCCATCCTACTAAGTTCCTAAATCTCTTCTTTCAGGATCTGCATCAAACCAATATGCCCAAGAACTGAATCAACAGAACATTCTACTAAACAGAAGGTAAATCTATTCACGGGCGCAGGCTTGAGCTTCTTGGATCTCTCAGAGGAGGCCTTAGCCTTTCAAATACTTGCAGAATAGGTTTCTGAGGAATTTGTTTCAAATAAAMACTTCTTACACCAAATTTCACAGAGCTCATTTCACAGAGCATCCTTCAGGCTTGCAGTCTGTACACATGACATTCCTGCATGTTTATCCTCCTCCTACTATGTCTATATAACACTCAACTGCATAAAAAAAGTCCATCATTTTAACATTGATCTTACCTAAGACTCATTACTATTTTCTTTCTGTTCACTATGCAAGCTCCAAGCACTGAGCATGTACTTAATATTCAAAACATGGGATCACTTACGGAAATCATCTYTTTCAGGAAAAATCCTACTTCTTTTCCCCTCAAAACTGGATTACAAATAAGTGATTCATTTAACCTAACACCTAAGYCTTAGAAGAAAAATCTACACAGCAGTCATTCTACCTCATGTTTACTTACCACTGCCTCCATATCTGAAATATTTGGTGGTGCATAGATTGTCTGTACCATGAACTTGTGTTTACTCTTCTCATTTGGGTCATAGTCAAAAGGCTGTAGCATTACTGTTCAAAAGAAAAAACTAAGTGTAAGATTATGTGGTTCTTCAGCTAACCACTATAGTAAACATGCTATCCACTTCAGATTTACTTCTTAGTGGACAGACAACTTGAAATGCAAAGGCAGGTCTGGAAATAGAGCAGAAACACACTGTGGAAATAAGTTTTAAAACTGCTAAAAATCTTTTTAAAAAGATCCTGCAATACAGACATACAAGAAAAGTAAACATTGTAAGACTTTTCTGTGCAATAAAACACATTTGGTGATTAACTGAATGGAAAAATACAAGATTTATAGTGCATACCATGACAGCTCCTCAGAGGGAAAATTGGACTTACGTTAGGGCCTGCACAGTGAGGAAAATTCAATCGATTTTTAAAAAGCATATTAGTAGCTTCAATCCTTGTTTAGATTAAGACATATCATTCAAGCCACAACTATTACAGGACATTTGTTACGAAGAAAAGCGGTAAAGTTGCCTGGGACTTTAATAACACATCTTCAGACTGCCTTCACATCCAGTGCTCTTTTTTTTTAGCAAAAGGTTTGTAGTGCTTAGTTATGGGATAACTATAAAACTTGAGTAAAATGTGTTCTAACAAATTCTTAACTTTCAGTACAGCCTAATAATATTTGCCTGAAATTATTTCAAAATCTAGGTACACAGCTAAATGGTACAGTGAATTGGGATCAGATTCTCCTGAGGGGAAAACGAAAGAAGGAATTCAAAACTTAATAAAAATTCTTCTCCTTATGTTTTATTCTATAAATTGTTTATCTTCAGACTTCTACGTATTCTCAATACAGGGGTAGATATACTGGGCCTTTGTTCTAAGTGATGGAAATAGCATGACATGGAYCATACAAATCAAGTGAACRTAAYGCATATATACACATATACATATTAAACAGGGCAAGAGTCACATATCGTGGGACACAGTATAAGGGTTCACAGAAACAGGTAAATACACCAGATTTGTTAGGATATTGTTGGAGGATGTGCCGTGATCACAAGCTACCTCTGTCCTTATCGTCTGCATGGAACAGATCTTGAAACAAACTGTCCTGTTAGCACCCTGCCCACACCTCCTTTCTGAAAACAGTCACTAATTTACTCCAGGACCACATAAATGTAAGTACTCTTCTGTGTGTGCACACAACTTGGATTATTACTTGRATGAGAACTCAGAGTGAACAGTAGAGGTGAGTTATTAATTGCTATTTTTATAATAGTGAAGAGGCTAGCGCAGAAATCCTGGTTTGGATAGGAAAACACCAGCTGTGCTTCAAACAAGTTCTCCATATATTCCTAAATRAGATCAATCTGTGAACTTCAATACTATTGTACAGTTTTATTCAATTAAGTAATATTTTCYAGAAATTTGAAACTTTGTATAGTTGTATAATTTGCTTTCACTCACAAAAAAGAACTCTTCACAGTAAGGATAAACTACACTCCAAAATATCAAACACAGTATCAAAATGTCCAACAGCCTCTCCAAATTCACTAGCACCTATAAATAAAAGTGATTTATGAACTGGRTTGTACTTACTTCACTCATATCACAGATATCAGGTGCGTGTTGCAGGTGGTTGCTAATATACGATTATCTGATCTGAGAATCAGAGGTATTTCCCAAATGAAGCATATAAGGGAATTGCAATATCTGACAAGCTTGCAAGCAATCTATTTGGAAAGGTTTAACGGCCGGATTTCCTTAATTCTTGATGTCAGTGTTGTCAAAAATGTAACTGAGCAAGCTAAGGGCCTCTTCCAACTGTGTAGGGTATAGAAGAATTCCTAGAGGTAAACCATGTCAACAGGCTACTGAATAACAGGCAATACTTCAGTTTTCCTGCGTCACGGAAACTGTTGGAACCTGAGGTGCATCAAAGTCAGCTCTCCATCACTGAGGACTTCTTTTTATGCTGACAGAAGCTTGAGTAAATCCACAGCTAAATAACTTTGGTTTTGGCCACTTGGTCACAGCTGAAATTTTGACTGAACAGCAGCACAGGTAAAGACAACCCACAGAATCTCATAGAGCTCTTCAAGCTCTCTGATCAGGCTTTAAATAATCATGGCAAACCACAAGAATATATGAAGCCACAGTTTTCAATATGTGCTCTTGAGATCACTGAATAGCTCTCAGATCACTGCTAAGGGAACCAAAACAACTCTTGTTAAATTCCCAAGGGGGAGTTACCTCCACAAAACTGATAACAGAGTGAGAAGACTGAAATTAGTTGGAAAGGAAAAATAAAACATGTCATATTCTGAAAAATCAACAAGCAGTTACTATACATGATACAATAACAATTAGTTAATTTAGAGCATCATATTAAAGGGTAAAGTAGACAAATCAGAAAATTGGGTCTTACCAAATCATTATTTTTGGAAGGAAAAAGAAATTGAAAGAGGTTACCTACAGATTTGAAACTGTACAACAGAAAATAAGCTGTACAACAGACAATACACCCATAGCCTTCCCCTAAAATGAGTGCCAAGTCCTGCATCTAAGAATTAAAGAACTAGTTTGACTCTGTATCCGAATGATGCATTATAATGGCTGAAGATTATTTAGGTAGTTCTGAACATGTCAGTGACAGAGTCGTTCTTCTCTATACAACTATGCAAGAAATAGGTATTTCTAATGATATAAAGAGATCTGAAAACAGCACTGAAAACGTTTAGTTGAGTGAATTATGAGATTAAGYGGGTCACTAAAAAAATTCTCTGTGTACTTACCAAACGACCCCGGGGAAAGAAAAAAAAAAGGAAAAAAAAGCCATGTTTTGGGAAAGATGTGTCTGAAATATCTTTGGCTTACAGCTAAACAACCATACATAAGCTTCTTTTAAGACTGAAAAAAGAATATCCAAGATCTACAGCTATCCAAACCACAGACTCAACCAGTGGTTTCCTTTCACTGGTGAACTCCAAGTTGAAATACAGTTACAATTCACTTATTTGTAAAAGACCATTCTAAAAGAGGAACTATTCAAGGAACTACAAATCTGGCAAATGGGCATGTTCACAGGCACATTCAAAGAACTACAAACAGGCAAATGGAATAGTTCAATCTAATTCCCTTAAGAGAAAGTCCAGCAATATCTCAGTCATGAACTGTATCTGACTTCCTCTGGGGAAAGGTAGTCGACACCTAACAACTGYTGTCAAACAATCCACATACAGCAGGACAAATGGCTGGAAGTGGAAGTTCAAAGGACAAATTAAGTACGCTTTGATTTTTAAAACATTCCCTCAACAAGTGATTTTTCAAACACAGTATGTTGGACTGTGCACAGAAAGCAGTACCAAGTTTTACACTGTCATTCTCTGAATATTGTATGAAAATAGAAAAACAGTTTACAGAAAGTTATTCCAAGGTTTTAAAGCATCATAAAAGCAAAGTTTTCCAGTTATTTCTTGCAACTTTTGAATCCATCACCTGAAACAACTTCCCCAACTTTTCAATTACTAAACACTAAGTATATGAAAAAGAAAAGCTCTGAGAATTGCTCAATGTTCCCCCTTTGCTTTGCTACAGCTTTTCAAAGGTTCTACAAAAAGAGCATCACCCTGAGCTATCCTGCTTTCAGCTACAGGTGTTACACATACAAGCCTCTAGACCTCCTACAGCCTATGTAACCACAACTTATCAAAAGCTGATTTTCAATATCCAAATTTAGGAAACATGATGGGTCCGCAGGAAAGTAGGATTCTCCTCTTGAAATCTCCTGAATATTGAGATTCTCAAGCCAGGGATTTCTGTCTCAGAATGATCAGGAGAATGACCTACCAAAAGCAGGGCAAAAAAAACAGGCACCTTCTCTTTTTCTAGGTCTTTGAGAATGTTCACACCCACATTTCCTAACATGCAGTCTTTCTCACATTCCAGGCAGGATAAGCTTTAACCTCTTTATGTCCAGCTACCAAAACTCTGCTGACTATCAAAATAAAGTAGACATGCTATCCAACGTGGACTTTAAGGAGGAGGGAAGGAGAAAAAAAAAAAGAAAAGAAAAAGAGAGAGATAGATAGGCAGATGGATAGATAGGAAAGCTATCATCTGGCCCCCCATCTCATTCTCTGCTCATTCTTTTTCCCCACAATTGAGTAAGGGCTGTTTCTATAGTAAAATGTAGTCGACCACATAAAAGAAGAGAAAATAYCCTTCTTAAAAGTGATTTAATTGTTGTCATTTAACACAAAGTGATAAATGTAAAAAATACTAAATTATAGGGTCCAAAAAACTACCCTGCTATTCTGAACAGTTTTTTAAATGCCATAAGCTATCAAATGTTAAACTTCAGAGTAGCCAAGCAATGTCCCACCTCATGACATAAGCAAGAATAAACTGAAGCAAGGCACTGCTAATGTCACTGCCCACTTCCAACTTCTTTTCTGCCTTGCATACTGAGAACTGCACATAAATGTGATGGCAAGTAACTCTCTACAGCAGATTTTCACGTATCATTGCACCCCTACCAAAATTGGACAGCTGCACTAATGAAGAACAGTTTTTATTTTAGAATTTAATAATTTTAAAAAGCTGATGCACTCCCTGAAGTCYAAGATGACTATTGGAGAATGCCATGAAAGCTCTAAAAATAAGTTAGACCTGAGCAGATGCGTACCTGAAACGACTACAGACGATCCTGGATCAATAATTCCGCTGTTTGGCCTCACACAGTACCGACGAGGCGCCGTGGTCTTCACTTTGAAGCATACTTTTCTATCTGATGGGTTTCGTAGCTTAAGATTTGTAGTTACTACGTCTGTGAAGGGACCTGAAAAATGGATTGTTTTGTTTTAATAAATGCCCATTTTTAGGAAAAGACCTTCATACAGCACCAGCAACTTAGAAGGTTGTTGCTGTCATTATACTTTAAAAGTAGAAGATTAAATCATAAACATATTAAGCAATCTGCTGGTTACAACATACATTTTACCATTTTARCTATACTAGTATGACAACATTAGTACAAAGGATAGCACAGAAAGCACATGTGAATACTTTCGTAACAACAGYCACATGCTAAAGTAAATTTTGCTGTATTTTTAGAAATAGAAACAAAATGTCGTTTGGAATGCTCTCAATTTTGTTTTTAGTGTGATACTGAGATGCACTATCTGCTCTGGAGAATTCAGCTTTATTGTGCTAATGAGCAACTACAGCCTTAACTGAAACAGACCCCAGTCTCATTCTTTAAGTCCAAGAATAGGCAAGAAGGATGATGAATCATTCRCACAGTCTCTAAACTCTATTTCTTTCTAAATCAAGATAGGAAGGTGGCCTCTGAGGCTAAAATCAGGCAATAGGCAGGCAGCTGCACATACTCCTCTGCCAGCAGGAATTATTTTATGTGATACAATAAAGCAACAGTGTGAAACCAAGTAAAGTGCACTGAATTGCACTCATTTCCCTTATACTTASGATATCTGAAAACCCAACTGAGCAGGTACCAGAAAAAAAAACAACTTTTTATATAAACATGAAATTTATTTAGTAATACTTAGTACATACATTTAGGAAGGTGGTTTCTGGGGGAGTTGCTCACTCATTTTCAGAAAGCTTTGCATATGACATGGCTTCATACATATCCAAGCAAACATGAGGTGGTCTCCTCACGGCAGTATGTACAAAACTGCATCAAAGCTTCCTGCCACTTACCACTCAATAGCTCATGCTGCATTCAGTCATATTTGCCTATAGAGCTTGAACTAAAACAACAGGCATATCCCACAGAACCAGCATCAAGCATCTGAAAATGCATATGAATCTAACACTGCCAAAATATGCAGAATAGACCAAACATTTGAGCAATACAAATATTTTTATGGTAGTTATTACGAGAATTTTACTTATGGCCATCCAGGCATTGCCTTGTAATCTAGGCATCTACAGGGCCCCACTACACACTATACTTGGGATTTGGTTTGCAAAGCCTTTTTTTACACAACTCTAGACAACCTGTGGTTAAAAGCAAGAGGGAGCTCTAACTGCTTCTCAATCTTCATGAAAATTGGTGCTGAAGAAATCCTGCTTAAAAAAAAAAAAAATCAAGCTAAACAAAGGTTCAGTTCAGAGGCTAATATTGAAAGTCCCTGCCATGAACAAAAGGAGCTACTTCATTCACAAAGGGACTCATCTCAAAACATGGARGGAGCAGTTTTTCAAGTGATTTTTTTTCCTAAATGATAAGATTTAGGGGGAAAAAAAAGGCATGAAAGGTCCCTTCACATCTTCGTTCTCAAAGTCTGCGTAATAAGAGTAAAAACTGATTTAAAWTATTCCTCCAATTAGCCTGTATCTCCTGTGAGCTCTACCACCACCTGTGGAAATCCTGCCTGTCTCCCAAACACACAGGCACATTTCCTAGATACTCCCCCGACTACACCCCCCTCTCCCCAGGCCTTTATCTTTAGCAACATTTTAGACATTTCTCCAAGACCAAACTGAAATCTTTTTCAAGGTCCACAGAACTCCGTTCACAACTTCACTTTTCACCTGCTTTCTAAAAGTCTCAAAGGAAAAAAATCTATATAAAACCTGCCAAGACTCACAACTGTCCACTTTAATAAAAAGTTTGTGACAAAACTGGTGCACAAAAAGGTAAAAATACTAAACTTCACTTTTTCTGGCATAACCCAGCTCTTCAGGAAATGCAATGGCATAGTGACAGCCAGCAATGACCTGGGCATGGGCAGGTTGGAGAAAGACCTTCTGGACACAGCAAACCTCTAGGTATCTATTAGCATCCACTGAAGAAGCACAGTCTAAACTACATGACATATCCTATGATGATGCAAAGCCGTCTGTGTTGAATAGCAAAGATCAGCTTAAAAGAATCTTTTCATTCTGTAGCACCCAGGGGAAAAGTCAGAGATGACAGTAAATATCTCCTCTTGCTGGCAGTACAGAGCAACCTAACAGAAGAATTGTTGAGAATAGAAAAGGTTTTGTTATCGAAAGCTCCATTCTTAGAAAGTCAGAAAAGATTATCATGAGGTACACACAATGACTGGCACAGAACAATATCTCAAAGGAAACAAAAAGAAAGCAAGAATTTATCTTTGGATACCATTACATAACATTTTCAATTAAAAGGCAGATAACATTGTATGAAAATGAGCATGCATTACTCAAAAATTCAAGAATTGGTTATTAACTATAGTTTATGCTTTAAGCTTACCATTCCTTTCAGTTTAAGATGTTGAACTGTAACTATCCTAAGATCTGATACTTAAACTCACTCTGCCAGAAGACACTGTATTGCATGCATGGAAGATAAGTCCACTTCATCTGCTGAAGTAGAAGCACATCAGTGATTTGCTCTCCTTTGAGAGTCACACCAGAAGAACAACAACAACACAGGCACACTCAAAAAATGGGCTGGACATACAGAAAGCAGCTCTTTCCTGTGACATTTTGTTACTGCATGTGACATAGGATAGGGACAATACTACTGAGAACTGTTTTTTTAACGTAGCTGGCTGAATTATCCGCTATGATATAAACAACCATCATACATACATATATACATTTATACATCCGCACACACACTGGTTGTGATATATAATGAGGTTGAAAAGAATGCATTTACTTCCCAGGGAACCTGGGGATAACAGTACTTTCTACAGGCTTCTGATAGTCAGAGACTCCAGTTTTCCTTCAATGTAGACAGGACACTGATGTCTTCATTACCTTCATGTTTCCCTTCACATGAGTTTATACAGTTATTTTAAAAGCACCTGGAAACACTAATATTTCTTGTTATACTATTATACTGCTATTACAGTACATTTCTATATACATAAAGGYGTAAGGAGAAGGAGAAAAGTTGTCAATATTAAGTTGAAACTTGCATTTTGCAAATGAACTTGAGTCCAAATTGAAAACATGGAAGACATCTAAAAAAGAAGGACCAATGTTCAGCTGCCAAACTATCTTGATTACCAAACCAGATAAAAGTAATCTTAGAAATATATACAAATTCCTTTGAAATGCTTCAAGAAGGATTTTGTATTTATTTCAGATGCTTTTCTAAGGCAGAGAAAAGCTTTGGAGACATAGCTGGCACAAAATAAGCCACAGGAGGAATGTTGCTAGTTTCCTGCAATTACATTTTTTAAAAATTAATACTCAGCCATTTGTGAAAATAATCTAATGAGATTCCTAACATCTGTTGCCAATAAACATCATACACTTACCTTCCTTTCGAAATAACCAAAAAAAGGTCATTCAAATTTCCCATAAACTCGCATGGAAGAAAATTGCTAGCCCTAACAAATCACCTGTTTTAATTTTGTCGTCTTTGATGCGTAACAACTTAGGCCTCATGAATTAATGCTTTAACATTAGAGGTCTGAATCACCAGGAATCATCAGTTGATTATGTTTCAAGATTAATACCTACAAATAATCAAAGCTTTCAGGTACATATCCCTCTATTACATCAATATTAGATTCTTTTGCTTCTTGTTTTGCTATGGCACTTGAGAAATTGCTATTAATTTTAATCCAKCTGCACATAAGCATCAGAATGCCAAAAACTATATATTTCTATAAAAGAGAGCTAACACACCTGGACGTGCACAACTGCAGAAGAGAGATTCCAGGCAGTCACTACTCATCATGAGCAACAACAGATTTTACTCCAGCTCCCCACAGTGACACTTTGCCAGCATTCATGTTAACTATGCACATCACAGACCTTTCCTGTAAGGAAAGCGTTCAGAGAACATCCAGTTTTTAATCCTAAAAAAGCTGTCAAAGGGACACACAGCTCCTGAGCAACCCACCCCCGAGTCATGAGAGGTGCTCGTGCAGACGTGCCAGGCACACCTTACTGGGAGCAGGGAGCAAGAGAAATGGCCATCAAATTTTTTTGCTTGCCCATCAGCCACAGAAAAAGACATAAATACCCTGGGGCTTCAAACTTGACAGAGTAAAGATTATTTTCTTACAGTTTCTTCCAAATTCATCCGTTTGTCATTGGTCTGTTGTCAGTGACCAAATGAAAGTGAAAATGAARTGATATCTATCCCAAGGGTTGATTACAGCCACAGAATACATGATTACATGAATTCTAGCAAAGAGAATGTTTGCATTACATTGGATAAAATGCAGACTAAAAAGGAACTATTTCGCATTTTATGGTAGATATGGACTAAAGCTTCCTAAGCAATAAAAAAAATACTTATAATAACATGGTATAACATGAAGTAATTTCAACTAGCATTATTAATGTTTATATTTAGTTTCAGTTTTAAAATCTAACAGTTTAGGTCCAGTGACATGCATCCATTATTTATTTTCTATTGAAAGCTCCATTATCCCTTATTTTTAAAGTCAGTATTTAAATAAACATTATTAATAATTAGAAGAGCTTGTTACTTATATTTGACCTCCACATTAGCATAAATACTTTATCTGCAATTTAGCTTTATTTCATTACAGTGATATTCTTATCAAATACATAGTACTCCACATTAAGAATATATTAAAATTGATAGTTCATAATTTTACTAGGACAGTCCCAAGAATCTAATGACAAAAGGTTTTAGTGGCACCGAAGTCCTATGACCTGATGTTCAACATACCATAACTTACTAAACCTGCAATAAATAAACCTCAAATACTAAACCTGCGATTAGATAAATCTTTCTGATCTGAATTGCACCATACAAGATGCTCTTCAAAGTACATAGCAGCAATCAGAACACCGGTAATTATCTTGGATGACAGCTGTAATGACTCACAGCATTCCAAGGAAATCAAACT